CTCGCTACTTGGCTAGCTTGCCTATGTAATGCTGTACAACTTCCTTCTAACCGTTGATGCTAGTGCTATTGGTTGCATTGATAAGCAAATTAACCTACTGGCTGTACTGTGCCACTGGGCTAGTAGTACTTTGTGCATGCTATTATACCAGCGACTAGAGTCTCCTATAATTGGCTCAAGCTTCTAATCTTGTCAACAACCTGCTTGCATTTTGCAATAGCCAGTATCATCTATTTTAGGTTAAGCATAAGTATGCTAATTAGTGCCTAGTAATAATTAATCTAATAATGCAGTCATATATATCATCGTATATTCACCAGGGTTTTAAATCTCCCGCTATCCCGCTATAGCTGTTTGAGAAGGGTTCTAGCTATTTGCTCTCGTGTACAATTTAGCCGCTATAACTCTATTTAACCCGCTATAGCTGCCGCTATAACTGTTTGAGAAGCTAACCGCTAAATACCTTAGCCCGCTATTTAAAATATTGATATTCACACCCACATATATATCCCAGCAGAATCATTTGTTTACCTATTGCGTGAGGATTTGTATAGTACTCCTCCATAACTTCACAGAAACAAGTCAAGAGAAGCACTACCATATAACATGAATTTGGATGTAGAGTAGCTGTCTGATTCATGGTGGGCGACCAAGATAACACGGCACAGCAATTGTAAACAGTACCCATGAAACGGTGTTTTAATTTTGGAATCATTATTGGGTGCACATTGTTAAATAGTACCCTGGTCGTAAATAATACTCATATTTGATATGTAGTCAAAATATGATCAAGATTTTAAATTTTATATTATAATAAGTTTGTAAAAAGATCTTATAGTACTACGATACTGCATTTTTTTACACTAATCTGCACATTCTTTTACCTAGCATTTGAGGAATCGTTGATGGCCAACGTTTCAAAAGCTTAACTAAATCTCCCACTGCCCCGTTTGATTGGGATAGTTGAATTTGATGGATTATCTAATTTTTTATAGTTACTTGAGGGCATAAACGAGTGAAATAATTCCTACACAGTTGATATGTTGTTCTTTCCTACACAGTTGATATGTTGTTCTAGTAAAGTATCCCAATAAGTTTTTTGAGTGAAAAATTTTCAGATAAAACTATATTAAAATTGGAGTGTAATTACAATGTAACCCAGATATAACTTACATAAAACTTTTATTCACCTATGATTTGGTTGGCTAGCACTATGCTCTTACGCGTGATATGCGTGAGAATTTCTTTCTAGTAATTTTTTCTTCATTCACAAATCTCAAGGTGATTGGATGGCCACAAATCTAAAAATTTTATGTGTAAAAACTTGCAGAAGTTTTCCAGCGATTCCTTTTTTTAACACAAAACACCCGTTTAGAAGTATGTATAAATCTCATTTAATATTAGGTTGATATATTTTGAAGCGGATGTAGTATAATAATTGAGGGTTTTTTTTATCTATTTCTGTTTTGCACCTCCTGTTCACCCATGCCTTATCTTCCCGAAGTCAGAGGATCGAGCTAGTGACTGGTACAGTAATACAGTACTAGGGTACACAGAGAGATGGACAGCTCACTCTATCAGGTATATGGACTGTGTGGAGACCGCACCTACTGAAACGGCGCAGTTCGATCGATCGCTCACTTTACAACTGGGGAATAATCTGAGAGATAGTGCTACATATACTGCTATAGCTACTGCTATAGCTCAATAATTTCATTGCACGTATAGGTAGGTTTGGTTGTTTTTTAGGTTAGAATAGTGCAGTATCATCCACAGCTTGACCATATTATTTACCCAAGATTTTCTAACTAACACGAGGCCGCCTCCACGGCTAGTGGTGTAATACTTGCGTGCAGGGGGCCCACCCACAGTTGCACATCCGAGCTGTATGTATACGGGAAGAATCGGAGCATGGTTGTTGGAAGTGCAGTTTGTTTTAGCAGACATAAGTAGAGTATCGGTACTAGTGGCAGTTGTTGATACGCATAGAAATTTTAATACTAGTACAACAGATCGATGTCCCTTCTTGTTTATATATAATACAGCTCATGATAAAAGAAGATAGAAGTAGATGGAATTTCAGAAGGATCCAAGAGACGATGCCACGCCTCCACGGCACTGCAGAAGCAGTCGAAGAATGGAACTAGTTTTGTGCCTTTTTTTTCACTGTTTTCTATTTCTCAGTCCTGTGCTATAATCACTGAAAAAATGTATAAAAGTTTTATTTTAAAAAAATACTTTTGATATTTTAAATACAATAAAAATTATTAACCGTAAATATAAGTATCCGTGTTAAACACTACGACTTTGAACTCAGGTGGATTAGTTAAAAAAAGAGAAAAACACTAGTTGAACTACGCTTACGTAACACTTCTGATCGTTTCTTAATTCTTTGTGTTATTTTGTGCTGAATGGGTTGTGATAATTATTTAAAGATGTAAATAAGTTTGATTTAGACACTATTATAAGATAATACCCATATTGTTTTCTAGAAAAAAATTATATGTATAATATACTACATATAATTTAGAAGTACCTATTAATCTAAGGAATTGCTAAAAAACTGTCGCAAATTTTTTTGGCAATTTTTTTTAAATGTAAGTAACTGTAAGTATAAGTATAGTATATTTGTAGTGTAATTATAATATAATTATACTATAGTTATATTGTAACTGCACTATAACTACATTGTAATATCTATATAAGTTAGATATAAAGTTGCATGTATTATTTTAATACTTATGTACGAGTTATATTATAGTTGTAGTAAAATTATATTACAATTATATTATAGTTAGATTTGAAAGTTTTTCCCTTAAAAAATTGTACTAGCATTTTTTTAGATAGTTCCATGATGTGTTGTGTCAACGGGACGGGAGAAGCCGTCAAAGTACGGGGGCACGCGCACTCTGCAAAAATCCAAGGAAGAGGCAGGCGACCGTGAGCCAAACCGAGACATTCTCTCGGCGCGCGGGCGGCGCACGAATGTGTTAGAGTGATTGACTCAACGCACAAATCCATTGATTGAGATGCGGAGTACATATACACGAAAACCTTCCTAAGATTGCTCAATGGCCGCAATGACCGCCAGGTCGGAAGTAGACAAGATCACCAGCGTGGGCATGGCGCCGGACGTGGGTGTGGCGACGGGGCCGGCGGCCGGCGACGTGGTGTCGACGAGGGCCGACGACGCGTCGTGTTCTGTCACTTGAAGAAGAGCCCGAAGGTGGGTGGCGAGGGCGTCGTGAGCTGCCGTTTTGGCCTGGGCAGCCGCGGCGTCGGCGACGGAGCGGATGACGTCGGGGTCGACGGAGAGTCCGGCGGGTACGTCGTAGCTGGCGTGGATGGAGTCGGCGATGGCTTGGACGATCCGGGTGAAGACGGCGTCGTGCGCGGCGGGGGGAGGAGGCGACGACATGGCGTCGGCTGGCATAGGGAGCGACATCGAGAGCTAGGGTTGGGGAGCGGAAGCGGAAAGAGAATCTGATACCATGTTAGAGTGATTGACTCAACGCACAAATCCATTGATTGAGATGTGGAGTACATATACACGAAAACCTTTCTAAGATTGCTCAATCGGTTTATGGAACAGCACCGAGAGGAATCATGAGGATTGGTAATACAAGGAAACATATTGACAGACATGCCATGCATGAAACATTGCTAACAGAATGGACTACGGTTCGGTGGATGGGAATGGGATACGCCTCCACCCCGCCGCGGCGCCGGCGTCCGAACGAACGAACGAACGAACGTGACGTGAAGGGTATTGCGTTGCGCTGCGCCTCGCCTCGCCTTGTGCGGTTTTGCGACGCCGGCCGCCGCCTGTGGTGGTGGGCTCGCGCGACGTGCCGCGCTCTCTTCTGTTCGTTTTTATTACCTGACGCGTCCGACCTGGGATCCACCCGTCGCGATGGCTCCACCGCGTAGTAGTAGTAGTGGCTTGTCCAGTGGCCACCACAAACTAGACCTGTCATTACTCATTACTGCCGTGTCAAAGCCAGCCGGGAAAAGAAGAAAAAAAAGAAGGAAAAATCAATGGATGCTATGAAACGCTTGCGGGTACAGCAGCAGCCAATGCATTTTGCAATTCTTCTACAACATCTCATTCCCAGTCCGGCAAACCTGCAGGGTGCAAATCCAGTAATACATCAATTCCATCCGTTTAAAAGGAGAAATCCTACATTCAATGCTCACGTGCTAGCTAGCATGAGGCTGGCTGCCTGGCTGTGGTTAATTGACACTACCCCTGCACGTAAACAACTGTAGAAACGAACTGTCGTATTTTCGCCTCCTAAATGCTGCCGCCCATCAAATGCTCGTATCATATCATATCATATCTATTTAGCCCGTTATAATGTCCTCCCAAAATAAAGAAAAATATCTCTACGTGCACAGCACACAACATAAATCTAACATTGCTCTGGATTACAACACAGATTATACATCCGACTTTCACTCTTATCTGAAGCACAAAGAAAAAAAGAAAATTCAAAAATGAATCAGAATCGACATCTACGATGGTTAGTGGTGTATGAAACTGACATAGATAAAGATTAAATTGGTGTTTGAATAATTAAGTTTTAATTATTATAAACTTGATAAATAAATATATTTAATATTTTAAAATAAATTTTACATAGAAAGTTTTTTTTACGAAATACACTATTTAATAATTTAAAAAGCATGTCAACGAAAATCACGTAAAATCTGAATTTCAACCCACCCAAAGATAACGCGCACGACGCCCGCGCCCACGGCCCTCGTTGACCCGCCCGAAAAACCCCACCAAACCCCCCCTCCTCGCAACCGGCCGTACGTGCAGCCACCACGCACCGAACCAAACCCGCCGCGAGAGCGAGACCCACCCACCACGCGCGGCCGGGTTCACTCACCCTCACCCTCTCAGTGGCAGCCGCCGGCAATTGAGCCCCGCGCACCAGGGGCAGCGCCGTCAAAACGCAACGCAGCCAGGGAGAAAAGGCAAGTTGTGAGTGAGCGAGCCAGCCAGTGCACAGGGAAATCGGGGAAATCGTCGGGGAAATCGCATGCCATTTCAGCCCGGAAGATTTGATTTCAAAAAAAACATTTAACAGCTTCCTTAAACAACCGAAACCCCCCACGATATCAGCTCTCTCTCTCTCCCTCCTCCCATCTCCTCGTCTTCCTCCTCCTGACCTCCTCGTCGTCGTCGTCTCTCTTCGCCGGCTCCGGCGGCGGCGGCTGCTCGCACCCGGTGGCGTGACCGCGGCGGCGGTGGAGTGGAGTGGAATTTGGGTTCGGATCGGCGGAGAGAGGAGGAGGAGAGGGGGTAATAATTGGGAGGCAGTTGGGGGAGTGTAACTTTGGGCATTGATGGCGGGGTAGAGAAGGTGAGCCCCCAAGGAGGAGGGTGGTGGTGGTGGTGGCTTCTGTACCTGCGACCCTGCGTTGCTCTGCGCCCCTCTCCTTTATTGCGTTTAATTTCCCTCCCAATTCCGTCTCTCCGCTGCCTGCCTGGCTTCTCCGCGATTCCATCCATAGTTTGGAGTGGGGAGGAATGGGGAGTGGCGGCGGCGGCGGAGGTGGTGGTGGTGGTGGTGGTGGATGGAGGAGGAGGAGATGATGCGGGCTGGTGGTTGTTGTTGTGGTGGTGGTGGGGTCTGGGCGCGGCTACTGCTGCTCGTGGCGGTGGTGGCGGCGCCCGGGGCGGTGGTGGCGCAGCAGGGGAACCTCACGTCGCGGGCGGATCTCTCGGGGCTCTACGCGCTGCGCGGCTCGCTCGGGCTGCGCGCGCGGGACTGGCCGCGCCGCGCCGACCCCTGCACGGCGTGGGCCGGGGTGCGCTGCAGCGGCGGCCGCGTCGTGTCGGTCGACCTCGCCGGGCTGCGCCGCACGCGGCTGGGGCGCCTGGCGCCGCGGTTCGCCGTCGACGGGCTGCGCAACCTCACGCGGCTCGAGGCCTTCAGCGCGCCCGGGTTCGGCCTGCCAGGCTCCCTTCCGGCGTGGCTCGGCGCGGGGCTCGCGCCCACCTTCCAGCTCCTCGACATCTCCGGCTGCGCCGTCACGGGGGAGATCCCCGCCTCGGCCATCGCCGGCCTCAGCAACCTCACCACTCTCAACCTCGCGGGGAATCTACTCTCGGGGCAGCTCCCTGGCAGTGCTCTCGCCGGGCTCGCTCGGCTCAAGACTCTCAACCTCTCTGGCAATGCCTTCTCAGGCGAGCTACCCAAGGCGGTCTGGTCGCTCCCGGAGCTGAGCGTTCTCGATGTGTCTCGGACCAACCTCACCGGCGCATTGCCGGATACAGGGCTCGCGCTTCCATCCAATGTACAGGTGGTGGATCTGTCCGGGAACCTCTTCTATGGTGGCGTGCCGGGATCCTTTGGCCAACTTTTCGGTAGGACGAAGCTGGCCAATATCTCTGGGAATTACTTCGACGGCAAACTGGGTGTATCCAATGGTGATGGTGGGAATTTCTCATTTGAGTTGAATTGCTTCGTTGATGTCACTGGACAGCGTAGCCAGGCAGAATGTCAGCAGTTCTATGCTGCACGTGGTTTGCCGTATAATGTTTCAGGTCCTGCACCCACACCGCAGCCTGCGATGCCAGCTTCACCGGGAAGGAAAAAGGGGCACAAGAATTTGAAGTATATACTGATTGGAGCCATTTGCGGCGGTGTCCTCTTGGTAGCTGTGATTGCTGCCATTTTGTATTGCTTGGTGTGCTCTGGGAGTAGGAGGAATGGGAGTAGGAATGATCAGCGGGAAAGTGGCGTGCGGAACACACAGTTGGGAGCGTCTGGAACTGGTGGGGGTGCAGTTACTGCTGGCACGCAACCTTCTGCATCGCCTGCAAACTTGGCAAAGGTCGGTGATTCATTCGGTTATGACCAGCTCGTCGAAGCCACCACGGACTTTGGAGATGATAGGCTTATCAAGCATGGTCACTCAGGTGATCTTTACCTTGGGGCGCTCCATGATGGGACCTCTGTGGTTGTGAAGAGGATAACTTCCAGCATGGCTAAGAAAGATGCTTATATGGCGGAGCTAGATTTATTTGCCAAAGGATTGCATGAAAGGCTGGTGCCGATCATGGGGCATTGCCTTGATAAAGAGGAGGAGAAATTTCTCGTGTATATATTTGTCCGGAATGGCGACTTATCAAGTGCACTGCACAGAAAGTCAGGGGAGGAAGAGGAAGGCCTGCAATCTTTGGACTGGATAAAGAGGCTGAAAATTGCAACAGGAGTGGCAGAGGCACTATGCTATCTCCACCACGAGTGTAATCCACCAATGGTTCACAGGTATAAACTTCTTTGTATTTACATGAATACAAAATTTATTTCAGTTGGATGTTTGCTTTTCGGGTATAAACTTCTTTGTATTTATGTGAATGAAAAAATTATTTCAGTTGGAATGCTCTGGCCACATATTTAATGAATTTGGATATTGCTGAATTACTGCTGTGTACTAATTATACGATCCATAGCTTACTTAAACCGAAAAAAATCAGAATATGAACAGCACTGTTTTTTGTTTATCCACCTCGCGGGAAATGGAGGGCGGTTATGTAGCATTGTTTTTTATTGGACGTTGCAATTCTGATGAGTTGGCATGCTATGTTCAGGTATACTTGCTAGATCCTCCATCTTATATATAGGCACTTCTTTATTATCATGCTATTTTATAGTCAAGTTAAATCTGAATATGTGTGATCACCTTGTCCGTAATTCAGTTGGTCCAAATATCCTTTTATGTGACTTTCAATGAGATGTTTCTATGCACTATATTACTACCAACTAGACAATGTTAAAGATTTGAGCACCCCTCCTGATATCATGCAAATGCATCAGAAGTTCTTTGTTGGCTTCATTTCGCTAGGAAAGCATTGTTTTGGTATTAAAGTGAAACATGCAGTAAACCATGTGAGTAATCTTGGTTGTTGAACTAATGAGATCATGATCTGCCACAGGGACGTGCAAGCTAGCAGTATTCTTCTTGATGATAAATTTGATGTGCGCCTTGGGAGTTTGAGCGAGGTGTGTCCTCAAGAAGGGGAAGGCCACCAAAATGTCATCACAAAGCTGTTGAGATTTTCATCGTAAGTTTTAACTTTTAGCACTGCATACTCTGTTTCTTAGCTCTACGTGTAAGACTCGAATATCCATAAAATGCTTGATTGCACTTCGCTGTTCAGTTCATCATGCCTATTCATTTTGCTAACATTTGAATTAAACTTGTGCTTTGAGTTCCGAATATATATTAGTCAATTATACTATATTATCCTTCCTCTCCCATGTATTGAGGGTGCAGCTAAGCAAATTCCAAATTGGTTTCTATATGCACAGGACAAAAATAGTGCTAGTAGGCCCGTTGGTAGCGAAAGTAATTGGAAACTTTCTCCTAGCATTTCAGATCCTGATATGGCTCATGTTCTGCTGCCAGTTTATTTTATGTAATTTCTTTTTGCTGCACTGAATGAAATTCGTCTCATTTTCTAATGTTGTGTTGTTTTCTGGGAAATGTAGGACTGCGGATCAAGGATCTTCTGGTAAGTCCATGCATCCATGCTTGCTTTCATTTCTTTCAAGTGTTAGCTGCCTAATGTTTGAAACTGATGATGACACTGTTAAATTGTGTTGTATAACTGTATCTATAGATGTTTTAGGTTCATGGATGCAAGTGCATTGACAAACCTCTAATTTAACCAGGTTCTCCATCTGCATCATGTTCATATGATGTCTATTGCTTTGGAAAAGTTTTGTTGGAGCTGGTGACTGGAAGGCTAGGTATCAGTGCATCAAATGATGCTGCAACGAATGAGTGGCTTGATCACACTCTGCGCTACATTAATATTTATGAGAAAGAGCTCATGAGCAAGATCATTGATCCATCACTTATAATTGATGAGGACCATCTGGAGGAAGTCTGGGCAATGGCAATTGTTGCAAAGTCCTGCTTGAATCCTAGGTCTTCTAAACGGCCGCCGATGAAATATATTCTAAAAGCACTAGAGAATCCGTTGAAGGTGGTGAGGGAAGATAACGGCGGCTCTAGCTCAGCCCGTTTGAGAGCCACGTCATCACGGGGATCATGGAATGCTGCATTCTTCGGGAGTTGGCGGCATAGCTCGTCTGATATAGGTCCTTCAAGGGATGACAACTTGTTGAAACGCTCAGAGACGATCAAATCATCCGGAGGGAGCAATGGTGACCATTCTTCCTCCCGCAGGAGGCAATCGAAGGAGATCTTCCCTGAGCCATCTGGTTCACGTGACACCGAGGATTAAGGAGCTTTCTTTTGTCTTGTGACCCTTTTAGTGCAAAGAGAAGTCCATGAAGGGTGGCAGCTGTCGAAGCGCTGCTGCTACCTTGTGATTGAATTCTTTCAGCTGACAGATCGAAGCGTGAATTTCCTGCATGTCATTGACTTCACAGGCAGCATACTGGCATCAGGGGTACCATTTTTCGGGGTGGACTGGGAAGCGATCGTATAGTGGATTAGTGGTTGGTGCCCAATGCATGATCTGGACAAATGGCTTGGCAATGTTGTTATTTTTCTTTCCCCTCTTGATTAAAAAGAAAGAATGGCGAGCTGATTCTTTTTCTTCTTCCCTACTGTAATTGATTGTTTCATTGTTGATCATAGCAGAAATGTTCGTTCCATTCACGCCTGGCAGTGCCTGGTTTCTGTGCTGCTTTTCAGAATCTTCGTCTCTTTGGTTCTCTGTAAATAGTTTGATGGTGTGTAATCTGTTTGTTTGTTCATTTGAGAGTACAATTCTAGGTGAGCTGCTGTCTTCAGGGTTCAGAAAAGGCCAAGCTGAGACAGCGGCCTATCAGAAAAGGCCAAAATTGCAATGGCCGTTTGTGGCAGGCCGGCCCGGCCCAAGAAGAAGTGGTGGCCATATCATCATTGAGAGCGCCTGTAGCTCAGTGGATAGAGCGTTTGTTTCCTAAACAAAAAGTCGAAGGTTCGAACCCTTCCTGGCGCGGCATTTTTTAATGCAAATATCTTATTTAAACAATGCCAAGTTTTAAATATCTTGTGGGACATATGGTATTATAAATGTGGATATTTGTAGTACAATAATGTGTCTCCGATGTGTCCCTACTACTACTAGTACTAGTTTACTATATTATGAGACGGATGAAGTATTTAACAGTGTCAAATTTTCTTATACCATTTCTTAAAAAGCATCTAGTGTAAATGATTGTAGGGAATGGTTGAAAAGACATTGGGCCTGAAAGAAGATGATGTGTTTTCGATGTGTCCCTACTACTAGTACTAGTTTACCTTATTTTGAGACGGATGAAGTATTTAACAGTGTCAAATTTTCTTATACCATTTCTTAAAAAGCATCTTGTGTAAATGATTGTAGGGAATGGTTGAAAGACATTGGGCCTGAAAGAAGTTGCATCACCTTACAGGTGATGCCCTACAACTTGTTATAAAGTTTTTTCCACTAAAGGCCTGAAGAGAATCCGAATTGTCCATCCTAGTTTCATGGTGCTGTTCGGAATAGGAATAATTAAAGAAAGTAGAACACTGAGAATAACATCCAAATAGACAAATAATGGCAGAGTTAAGATAAAAACATCCAGAGACAAGACATAATACCGGGCAAATTAAAGTCTGTTATTTCCTTTTACTGGTGATAGTTTGTAATGAACTCGCTATAATCTCTGAATCTGTAGCTCAGGTCGGTTAGCTAAAGATTTTTTGTAGACTGGTCTTTAGCTAAAGATTTTTAGCAGTAATACATGGAGCTGTAACATCCCAGGTAAATTATTCTGCAGTTCCATTTATTTATCATGAACATACCAATAGTCCTCTACATCGTCTTTTAGAATTTGTTTTGGTTTATAACCCCCATCATGGCAGATTGATACTCCTCAGCTCGCTTTCGCAGCCACCAGCGACGACTGTTGCGTAACCTCGGGGACGGAGTGCTCGTTAATGACTTTGTTAACATGGTCAGTTTTTGTATCCGATGCCCAAAAGCTTGCCATTTTAATGTCATCTTTCACCATCAACTTGGAGTACTCCTCATGGCTGTACACCACATTGTTCTTTCCTCCAAACTCTACAGGAAGGACTTCTGGATCAATGTACTTGTGCAGGATCTTCATGCTCTCCTCGTTCTTCAGGTATACAAAATTCACCTTCTGGATTGATTTTGGGTCAAGGAAATGTTTGACAACCTGAAGGCAATTGAAACATTTGAGTTACAAAAAGAATCAAGATTTCCTTTCCCCCGTATCAAACACTATAACTTGGTTTCTAATATGTGAGTAGAACAATATCCATAGCACAATATTTCATTTATGAAAACGAATCAGAGCCTGTACCTTCCAAAAAGCCTCAAATACTTTGGGGGGATTAAACAGGATCCCGATAGCCAACCTCTCAGGGTAATGATTTTGCAGGATATTTGCACATTCTCTGGCAGTCTTTATGGGTGTCGCATTTGCCAAGGTCCATCCTGTGAAATCTATCAACCAAACCATTTTCTCTTGATCTTCAGGCAAGCTGAGGATTGCATTCTCCAACGTATATACAAGAAACCGTACCTGCCCTTCATGGGACGATGTGTTCTGAATGTTTGAAACAGTGAATAGGAAGCATTAGCTTTTTCTGAAGGCGAAAAGGCTAAGAAGGACGCTCGTACAGAATTCTTACCTGCTTTGCGGGTCTCATAATGACGACAGTTCTCCCCTCTCTATCTACAAAACTTGCTCTGTACATTTTACCTGTTTCTGATTCAACAGAAATCTCGGGCTAAAATTACAGAAGAAAGCTGTTAATAGGATGGTCTAGTCACTCAACAAGATTTCAAGGGAAATAATCAATTGAGCAAGAGAAGAAAAAGGAATAGTGGATTTACCCAACGAATGTCTTCTGGCCTGTAAGCTGTTCTCCACTTAAGACTTTCTTCCAACATTTTTCTGGACTTATCAACATTCCAGTTACGGGCCTCTAGATATCTTCTCAAGCATGCTTCAGTACAATATTTCTTACCAGAGGAAGACAACGGCCCAAGTGCAGCTCTGAGCTCTTGGATCTGCTCATTGAAGATGGTTGGATGAGAAATTGGCAACAGCATAGTAGATTTGAAACACTCCGTTGCCAAGACTCAAAACAGTACCCATAAAAATTAACAGCTTGAGCAATGCAATTTAAACTCATCTGAGCATGGTCATACCACAGTAAACATATTTGTCATTCTAAAAAAATACTTTTGAAGGTGGACAATTTTATTTATATTAAAATCAATATTGTAGTAACATATTCAAAAAGTGTGTCGATGTAATTCAGAACCATGTATTTTACATTATAAAAGATGACATGATAGCTTTTGAAAGTACCTTTGCTTCTTGTTGCTCAATGTCATCTGAATCGAAGCGAGAGGCATGCTTTTTCCTAAAGCTAAACATGACTTCTTCTGCTCTTGACAAAGCTCAATCCTGAAACAGAAATTACATGCTATTGATTCAAATATAATGTGGTCCTTTGCTCAACATCCTCATGGATCAGAGAGTACTATTTTCTAGATGAGTAATCTAAACGAGGATCAACTTCAAAGTTACCCCAAAAGGGGAAGAAATGGGGTAAATATCATGGTGTAAGACAGACCAATGCTAGTGGTCAAATAACTACTTGAATCAATAAATGTAGAGGAGAACTTAAGGACGCTAATACTAGGATATAGGGCTTCATCACACAAACATAATTAGTAATTAACCTCATCGCTCTTGTGTAAAACCACTTTGATCATTCATTTGAAATAAGATTTTGAATATTGCATGTGTGATTATAATATATTTGAAGAATAATGAAATATGAAATGCAAGTGTTCAACTAAATGAACAGCTGAATAACATACATATATAGACTGCAAACAAGATCACTATGCCCAATAGTGGCTAACAGCATTTTCTTGATAAATCCAACTTCTAGAGAAGTTTACAAGACTTTTGAGAGAAGTAAACCTATACTAGACAAATAATAATAAAAAAGATTGTATGGATATTCAATGATTTTTTTAGAAAGTAGGTCATACAACCTGGCATTTATAGAAAGCCAACACGGCATCATTTGCTGGGGAAACCAGCTTACAAGACAGCACAAGTCCGAAGAACAGAACAAAAAAATTTTCATCAGCAGAAATTTGCCTAGAAGCTCTTATTGTGAGATACTTCATACTTTTTTCCTGTATACTTATAGTCTTGTTGTTTGTAATATTTTAGTGTAACAATAAGTTTGCCCATGTTTGTAACATCTTCAGTTCTCTGTGCACCAATATTGATATTTCACAGAATACTTATGCGCATCCAGCCAATCAGCCATGCACAGATGCAACCATTAATGCATTACCATAACTAGATGGGAATAAATAAAATAAAATATATAATACTAAAAGGATTTGGACCCATATTTGTGCATCAAACTTCATACTTTTTGTCTGTGACAGGTGCCTCTCCTCAATTGACTATCACATATTTATTCAGTAAGCCAGCGACTTGACATGAAGTAAGTCCTAACTAATTGACATCACACTACAAGTCTAGAACATGTAAGAGGCAAGCAATTCACTGAAGCCAGAAATCAGATTGAATCTATACTCCATCTAAAGGAAGTAGTGGTGATCGTGAGTGGTGAATTTGCTACCAACCAACCACCAACTCAAATTCTGACATACGGGATCATTGTCTATCCTCCCACTAAACCAAAATAACGGTAGAACAGTAGAAGTCACGAATAGAATAGATCCTGGAGCTCTCAATCATGATAATCCTTGTACGCTAGTAATAAATGGAGCCCATTTTACGGGAGTGAAAACAGCAAAAACTTTGATGTTAATTCAAAATAGATTTCCTCTTTGACATGTGCCGATATGATTTTTTTTTAATTCCGTAACAATGTACGGGCATTTCGCTCGTCAGAAAAAGAAAAGGACAACATGGCAAGCACGGATCCTGCTTTACATTTGTGACCCTAACTTGGTTTGCAATTTTCTGTTTGTTGACTTCGACATTTCAATGAAATGTACTCCATGGACAAAGAAAAGGGGGGTGGAATGTACCGATCAATGTATATGACTACCGAGGCAGCATTGACAGCATCCTCTTTTGGACTTTGACTAAGAGAAATTTCACCAACGATAATAATGGTTTTAGGACCTGTTAATTCTAGCATAAAGATAATAGTGGTTTTAGAACCTGTTAATTCTAACATCTGCAACTGCTCAAAAACAAAATCTAACATCTACCGCATACCCCACTAAATACAGATACGGTCAGAAATCATAGATCTGACAAGATACCATGATACAACGGAATTCATCATCAAGATTTCGCAATTTTGTGACGTCCTGTGGTGTGAGACTACCCATATTGCCCCTCAAAAGATGAATTATGCCTAATTACCGCAAGAACAAATCACCAAAAAGAAAAAAAAAAACAAGATTTTTGGTTTCAGAACCGTAAAATACCCAAGATTTTAGCCGAAGATTGAGCTCTACCTCTACGGTGCTATGGATGGAAGATTACAATTACCAAACAGACCTAACATTTTCCCGGACCAAGAACAATACAAGAACCCTCGTATTAACCAGGCGATGAATCAACGAGGCACGAATCTCTCGCATCGCAGCAGCCATCGATCCCAGGCATCCCAAGCCGAACACCAAGAACAAGAAATGGAAGGGAGGGAAACCAAGAAAAAGTCTCCATACCAGCGAGCCCGGAGACGAAGCAAACTCAGAACCGACGCAGCGGCGGCGGCGGCGTCACTGCAGGCTCGCAGGGTTGCCGCCGGCGAGAGAAGAAGAGGAAGAAATGGCTCTCCCCCTCCACCTCCTCCTGTCGTCTCGGGAGCGGGAGAATAATAAAGAAAGGCGAGAGAAGTATCAAATGTCAACTGTACCACGCACCCCCGTCCTCCTACCTGGAGAGTACAGTGGGATCAGCATGCAGCTGCAGCAGCAATCGCGATTGCGAATCTCTTTTCGTGGCCGGGGCATCCAGTAGGGCAGTGTTTTTTTTTTTTTTTTTGAAATTGAAGAGAAGTTCGGGGAAAGTTGATAGTTTGAAAATAAACTCAGTAGAAAAGTTTTGGATGTGATGTGATGAAAAGTTGAAAGTTTATGGAAAGTTTGGTGTTAACTAAACAGGGTCTAGGTCTCAGATTAAGAAATTCTAGGCGCCGCAGAGAGAGAGGGGTGGTGTTTTTTTCTTATAAAGACGAAGATGAAGATGAAAATTAAGTTTTTTACGTAAAATAAGGTGGTATTAATGTATAATTAATTGAGTTTTAATTATTACGAATTTGAAAAATAGATTAATATGATATTTTAGATTAATTGAGCATGAAATGTACTGTTTAGTAATTTAAAAAACGTGTCACGAAAATCTTTATCTCCATCTAATTTCTGTTGAAGAGATGAGCGGGACCTGGCGTGGCGTCGCATGGGCCTATACTGGACCAGACACCATGCGGATGCGATTTCCAGATCCGTGGGACGAGCGGCCGCGGAGAAGCCGACGGATGGGCTTCTTCTGGATGCGTACGCAGCAGCAGGCTGTACAATTTTTTGGGTAGTTTGTCACGATCAAACCCACGGTAGTGCGCACGCACCATATCATAATAGTATCATGTGAGGTGGCTGATTCTTTTAACATAATGGAATAAAATTTTGGCCTACTGCATCGTGTGAGGTGGCTGATGATGAAGATGAATATTAAATTAACGTATGTCAAACGAGAAAGCTATTAGCATATGATTAATTAAGTTTTTAATTATTATAAACTTAACAAATTTATATATTTGATATTTTAAAGCAACTTCTATATATAAAGTTTTCACACATAACACATCATTTAGTAGTTTGAAAAACGTGCTAACGGAAACCGAAGTAAAATCGGAATGGTTAGTGAGAAAAGTGTTAGAATTATAGTAATAAGTGTGAAAGTATTATGTGATATGGTGTAAGGCCCTGTTTAGATCCTCCAAAATGGGAAAAGTTTTGCCATTTTGTAGCACTTTTTGCCATTTTGGATCTAAATACTAGTAGTAAAAGTTGGCAATTTGGCATTTGGCATTTGCTAGTCCATAGTAGCAAATTGTGCCAAAAAGTGCTTTGGGACCACTCCCTCTCTCTTTCTCTCTCTCACTTTAGTGCTAGAATGACAAAACTTTAACATGCAGTACTTTTGCAATGACAAAACTTTTGCCACCAAAACTTTTACCATTTGCTATTCCAAATGGATCTAAACAGGCCCTTAGGGCAGCCACAATGTGGCCATAAGAAGACGCCATAAGGTTTTATAGTGACCATATATATTGTGAAACAAAGCCATAAGGCATTAAATGCAAAAGAAAGCTTTAAGCTTATGGCTTGACCACAAGCAATAAAATAATAGGGTAAAATGAATGTGAGGATGAAAAATTTACATGGCTAATAAAAGAAGTACTAGAATAGTATATTGTGGGACCCATCTTAAAGGTTACTCTTGCTTTAAACATTGTGGTAATAACTATAAGAATAATGGGACCCACCTTAATGCTACTTATGATCATAAACATTGGAGACTGCTAAGAGCAGGTTTAATAGTGGAGTAAGCATCAGCTCCAATTTACATCCACGTCATTCAAAGCATCTTGACAGAACCATTTTTTATGTATGTGTGGGACCACCAGGATTGCTCCCTTTGGGCCATATTAGAATACTGACATGCAGCAGTTCGTAGATTGGGGAATTGGCCTAGGCGCTTGTGCTTGGCCGGCTCTCATGCAAGCGTCTGCTTTCCTCTCTCTCTCCAACACTTTCTCTCTTCCACGTAGGCGAAGGTTAGCTATTAGTCACTTATTGTACCCGCTCTAAAGAAACTATTTTCTTGGATAGGGAGGCATTTAGTTTACACACGGATTATAACTGGTCGCGTCTGGAAAAATAAGCTCATTTTTGATTTTTTCCGTGCGGGAGCGGCGTCCTCGGCCGCCGCCGACGAGGACGAGGACGAGGAGGAGGCGGCGGCGCCGCCCAATTCTAGGTTTTCAATTTTTTAATTTTTTAATTTTTTAGGATTTTTATTTTTCCGTGCGGTGTGCCACCCACACGCAAAAATCACGATTTTCTCAGACCCCTGGGTGTGTGCGGGTAGCCCACCGCACGTGAAAATTAAATTTAACCACATAGAAAAACCGTTCTCCTAGTAGTGGACTGAGCTAATGGAAGCTTAAATATTTCATAAATTATATATATACTACCTCCGTTCCAACAAAATCATCGTTCTAGATTATTTAGCAAAGATTAGGGTTTAGGAAAAATCACTATAGTGCCTTCTATTAAGTAATATATGGTTAGTACTTGAGGATAAGATGGAGAACATTTTAAATTAGAGGTGATTGATGTTACAAAAGATACTCCCAAAATGACAAGCTTGTTTGGACGAATTTTCAATCCAAAAGTGACATGATAAGGTTTATGGAGCTAGGCATGATACTCAAGCTCTAGTTTGCCCATGCCTGATCCTGACCCTAATGGTGTGCACGGTGGACGCACCATACCGTAATATCGTATCATACGAGTGTTGGAATTATAGTAAAGTGTGAAAGTATTACGTAATAGGGTACGATTGATGTGCAATCTAACTCAAGGAGTTGATATTCGAGACATGTGTTTTGATCCCGGAAATCGTGCATGCGAAGTAGCTAGGTTTGTTTATAGAGACAGCTCTATAAGAGCAAGTTTAATAGTATAGGCAATTACTAGCTTCAAATCATCTATAGTTAATCTAATAGCCAATTCATATAATAGTTAACTTCAAATATATACTACTCATTAATAATTGGTCCCACATGTTATGCACACATAACGTTTTGGAGTTCATGCCGCAACTGGCTACAAATCTGTAATCCGCTTATCTTCTCTCTTCTCTTTTATCTTCTCCATATAAGATTGTAGCTAACTTATAGTTTATTATTTTTATTATTGTACCTGCTATAAGCTGTTGAGTTATACGGTTGTATTTGAATTAATCTTATATATATGTGGGCATGTGGGCAGGGGCGGATCCAAAAATAAAAAGTTGGGAGGACTCAACATACTGAGTACACCGATATAAACATATAATCTTAGTATTAAACTATGCTAAAATACTATTATGAGACCTTTAGCACCTCCTATCTTATCAACTATGATGAAAAAATTAAAGGGGGGCTTAGAGGGTATCCATGGGTTTTGTGGGTGTAGGGGGGACTCAAGTTCCCCTGCACCCACGTTAGATCCGCTCCTGCATGTGGCTAACATATATGTGCCAGATATTATTATATTATAAACTCGTATAACTGAAATGTACGATCATGGTTGATGATATGATTTATAAAAGTCTAACGGTATAGAAGTAACATATATAATACATATATGAAAATAGAGTCCATTATATTCCTATCCTTAGCCTCGTTATAGATTATGAGCGACACCAAAAATAAAAGTTAAACCTAATAATAATTTAGGGTTAAAACCCAACAATGAGTATAATAGGAATTGGTATATGCGTTATTGTATCTTCTATTTTAGTCAGATTTCATGCATAACTTTTTTATTAAATGCTTGTTGTATTTTAGATTTAGACTTGTTATAGTGATGTAAAATGGATGAATTTATTATCCCCTTTCCAACTCCAGCTATATGGGATTACGATCCTTTTGTCTTTATTTGAATAAAGTTAGAGGCGAGCGGTGCAGTGATTTTGGGGAGGATGTTCGGATCTCCTATCTTCGGGTGTGTTTAGTTTCTGAAAAAAGTTGGAAGTATGAAGAAAATTGGGAGTTTGGAAAAAAAAAGTTGGAAATTTATGTGCGTAGGAAAGTTTTTGATGTGATATGATGTGATAGAAAGTTGGGAATATGGCGACGAACAGACAATGTTAAGGCCGAGTTTAGATCCAAACTTTTTCTTCAAACTTTCAACTTTTTCATCACATCAAAACTTTCCTACACACAAACTTTCGACTTTTCCATCACATCGTTCTAATTTCAACCAAACTTTCAATTTTGACGTGAACTAAACACACCCTAACTATAAGTTTGAGCAGTAGTATTTACAAAGTTATTAAGGGCTGGTTTGGTTTGAGGCCTAAATTAGCCTTACCAATATTTGGCAATTTCAATAGTGTTTAGTGTCTATTTGGCTTAAAGCCAAATTTTGGCATGCCTAAGAAAATAGGCCATTTCAATAGTTAAGTTAGGCTATTTTGGCTTCAATCCAAACACAACTTTACCTTGCCAAAATTAGCCATGTCAAAACTTATCAAAATTTGGCATTGCCAAAAATTGGTAAGATCAATTTAGACCACAAACCAAACCATCCCTAAATATACTATAGTATTGGACGGTAGCAACTGTAAAAGTACTTTTGTTGACCATCATCATTCTTGCGGTTTTACACAATCATCATTTTTACGGTTCGGTTGATTTGGAAAGAACATTATATTAATAACCACATCAACACGAACATAGATGGAGGTGGCTGCTACATGTATAAGAGGAAGCCTCATTCCGGCGTTCTTTTGTTTTGGTTGGGAACCTTCTCCTTCCGCACAAAAAACGGAGCAAATCATTAGCACATAATTAATTAAATATTAGCTAAAACTAACTTAAAATAGTTTAATATGATTTTTTAAAGCCACTTTCATATAATTTTTTTTAAAAAAAGTATATTGTTTAGTTGTTTGAAAAATGTGTACGTGAAAAACGAGAGAAGATAGAACACACACTAACGAACGCAGCTACTCTTTCTGACGCGAAGACTGTGGTCACAAAATAGATGCTGCGAGAATCAGACCTTAACCCCATAATCAGTTCTTTCCCTTTTTGTTTCTCTCTTTTTGGATCCGTAACTTGAGCTGTTATGCAAACACTCTA